GGGGAGGTCTTGCTCCTTTCCTTGGCTGGTTGTGCATCCCCGGGTTGGGGTGTGGATTTACCTCCAGCTCACAGGTGCCATCTCATCCCCTCACTGCAGAAACGTGAGGGAAAATGTGTGGAATAGGAAAAATACACACTATTTCTTCGTGTTTATTTACAGATCAAAAGAAACGGAAGGTAGGAGAGAAGGAATTCTCCTTCCATATGGAGTGATATAAATATATATAAACATATAAAAATATATAAATATATAAGAAGGGGCAGATAAACATGCACAGTTGTAATGCTCTGCAGGACAATTTCAGGACTGGTTTTGCTGATTAATTCCTCAAGTTCCCAGCAGAACCTCTGGGGCTGGGATTTGTCCCTCCCTGTCACAGCTCCAGATGTGTCCAAGATCCCAATTCAGAGGTGTTGGATTAGCAGGGGCTGGCTTTCACGTCAGAATTTATGGATCACTCGATCTGATTTCAGGTCCTCATTAGGAGAAGACAAATCGCTCTCTAGAGGATCCCACGTTTCCCAGTCCATGGTAACATGAACCCCTCAGTAGCCAGGTGACTGTCACTCCCTCCTGTCCCAGCTTACCATGACAAGAGCTCGGTGAAGTCTCAGGTGGAAACCACCACGCTATGGACAACCCCAGTCCCGGAAAAATTATATGTATTTTAATTATCATTTCCATTTAATGCACGACCTCCAAGCCCCCACAAAATATTTCTTGAAGACCAAGGTTACTTTCTTTTGAGGTGCAGAACTCCTATCCCGAGCTTGATCTTTATGGATTCAGGAAACTCACCCAGAGATCTTGACGAGGGCTTTGCATCCTCGTGTATTCCCTTTCTCCTGTTGCTTTTTATGGCCCCTGATGAGCCCTGGAGCACAACCAGGTCATCTGAGTCCCTAACCGGAGTTTCAGGGGCAACACAGGACTTTAATGAAGGCTCAGATGTTTCCCTGGATCTGAGCCTGGAGCAGCTGCTCCACACAAGCCCCAGAGCTCAGATTCAGCAGCAGCTCAGCCATAAATCAGCTCCATCCAGAGCTGGTGACATCCCCAAACGGGAGGGTATCCCAAAAGATTTTCCTCTTCCAACCTCCCTGCTGAAAGGAGAAGAAAAAAAAAAAAAAGTCAGGAAGCCCAGGATTTGTGGGGAGCAGAGGGCAGCGTTCCTGCTTTCTTGCGTGTCCCCCAGAGCCGAGGTCCCGGTCCCTGGTCTGGAGAAACCGGACACTGCGGGAGTGACCGCGGGCAGCGGTCGCGTTCCTGGAAGAGCACCGCCCCCGCGGGGCCGGGCGCCAGGCATTCCTGTTCCAGCCCAGCTAAAACCATTCCTCACCCGCAGGAGAGAGGCCATGGCAGCCGTGTTCCTGCCCGGGAACCTTCAGGACGAAGCCACTTGCTCCGTGTGCCTGGAGTTCTTCAAGGACCCCGTGTCCATCGAGTGCGGGCACAACTTCTGCCGGGCGTGCATCGTCAAGAGCTGGAAGGACCTGGAGATGGATTTCCCGTGCCCACAGTGCCGTGAGGTTTTCCAGCAGCAAAGCTTCCGCCCCAACCGGCAGCTGGCGAACATGTCCGAGATCATCAGCCAGTTCACGCTGCGCGGGGCCAAGGGCGCGCAGGAGGACGGGCTCTGCCCCAAGCATCGGGAGGCGCTGAAGCTCTACTGCAAGGACGACCGCAGGACCATCTGCGTGGTGTGCGACAGGTCCCGGGAGCACCGGCCCCACGCCGTGGTGCCCGTGGACGAGGCTTCCGAGGAGTACAAGGTCCGTCCGTCCGTCCGTCTGTCCGTCCGTCCGTCCGTCCGTGCGTCCCGCCAGAGACTCCCCGGGGAGCTGCGTTTGTCCCCGCGGTGTCACCCGGCTTTGCCTCGCCCAAACGCCCTCCCGAAGAGCTGGCGGTGCTTCCCAGCCTCCCAAAAAGCTGGGAGAAGGTGCCCTCTCGGGATGTGCGCACCCCTCTCCTGCGTTCCCCCGCGTTCTGGGACGGATTCACCTCGCCGGGAGGGGAACTGCTGCCGGAGCCAAACACCCGCGGCCATCTGGGGGCTGGGAGAGCTTCCAGAGATGAGCGAAGTTGATTAAAGGCGGGCTGACCTTTGCCTGTGCCAGGAGCCGAGGGGAACAGGGCACGTCCCGTCCCCGGCATCCTCGGTTCCGTTCTTTGGGGAGGGGTTCTGGTGGTCCTTGAGGCGCCGGCGGGGCGGAGCTGAGGGATTTCCCGGCGAGCACATCCCGTGTTCCCCTCCCTCCCCATCCCGCCTGACACAGAGCAAATCCCGCAGGCAGAGGGACTCAGCGAAGGAGAGAAAGCAACACCGGCAACATCCTCTTCTTTTGTTTCCAGGAGAAAATCCAGGAGCGCTTGGATTTCCTGAGGAAGGAGCGGCAGGAGCTGCTGGAGTTCAAAGTGAACGACGATAAGAAAACCCAGGAGCTGCTGGTGCGTCCCAGGATGGGGTGGTGAGGAAGGCTGGAGAGGGGTGAGGAACCACCGCCCGCCCCAATGCCCGAAAAAAGGAAAGGCATGGTTTTCTCCTTCCTCCTGGCCCCACCACTATCAGCCAGAGCCTCGGCAGACCTCGGGGATGGTGCTGGAGCAGGGCTGGCCCCAGGGCTCTCCTCCACCCTTCCCTTACCTCAGCACATCATCCCTGTGGCAATAGAAAAGAAAAAAAACCTCAGCCCACTGAAAATAATTTCTCTCCCAGACCATCCCCCCCAAGACGAGTGGCTTTGAGGGGCTTTTTTTAAGGACAAAACCCACTGAGCCACCCTTGCCTACCTGGCTGCTGTACCACCCCTGGGTGTTTTTAACACCACTGCAATTCCCTGTTATTTTGGTGGCTGCTGTGGTTGGACACAGCCCAGCCTGCCCCAAGCCTCAGGGTCAGGTGTGATGCCAAAGACATGAAGGGCCCTTCTTTGTGGGACCTGCTGGACCTGTGCAGAAGGACAATTTGGAGTGGAGCAACTGAAATGCCTCATGGTGCCAAAGGCAGCATTTCCTGGAGCAAAATGTTCCCGTTTGCCCCTGGGCTCTGTCCCGGATGGGAATCAGGGTGTTTGCAATGGCAAACCCAGAAGGAACTGGGATGGTGGCAGAGCTGAAGAACAAGAGATCCTAATGGGCAGGGACTTGACTCTCCCACCCCCAGCGCTTCCCAAGGCTTCTGTCCGGGAATGCTACCCAGATTCCTCACCCCTCCCCAAAGGGAAGGCCCCCAGTCTCTCTCCTGAAAACCTGTTTTTGCTGTGTTTCATTCCCAGAAAACCATTGAGAGCGACCGGCAGAAGCTGCTCTCAGACTTCGAGCGGCTGCGGCAGTTCCTGCATGACCAGGAGCACATCCTGCTGGGGCAGCTGGAGAAGATGGAAAAGAACATTTCTAAGAGGCAGAACGAGAACATCACTGACCTCTCCAAGGAGATCACGCTCCTCAACAAGCTCATCACCGAGCTGGAGGAGAAAATCCAGCAGCCCATGCTTGAGTTCCTCAAGGTGAGATATCAGGTCCTAGTCACAACCTTATTCCTCCTTTTTCAGTGTTTTTAAGGATCCCATAGAGGTGTTTTGGGGGTAAAAGTCTTTTTTTATTCTGTCTTTAATGAGTGGATGGTGCAAGAAGGTGTCTGAGTGCCCCAAGCTCTCTCTGGCTGAGGAACAGAGTGTCTGCTTCAACTTTTATCATTTTTTTCCCCCATGAACTTGTCTGGACCTTTCTAGTACCCCCAAGCCCTTGGTTTCAAGGTGTTCAGAGCTGATTTAGACCAAACTCTTCTTTCCAGGCTGGGAAAACCACCCCGGGGTGCCTGAAATCCTGAAGCCCACAGCTCTTTTCCCCATCCCTAATGGCAGGAGTGACCTTTGAATGGAACTTGTTTTTATTGAATAGAGCAGATCCTGCTGGTGGCTCCCCCAGACCTGCACAGGGTTAAATTCCCTCCCAGGCTGTGTTCTGGGTGCTGTCAATATTTGCAGATGGTTTCAGGACTTGGCTGTGGGTGGAAATTCACCCCACGTGGTCTCTGTGCAGACGGTGCTGGTGCCCACGAAAAACACCCCAGAACAATAGTTGGTATTGAATTAGAAGCAGGTTGGGAACTCTGGGCTGGCTTCAGGGTCCTTTTTCAGCCCCTGGAAGGTTATTCTGGCTTTGTGTGGGCTCTGGAATGTGTTTTAAGGGCACCAGAATGGGCAAATAATGGCTCAGTTTGGTGTTTGTTTGTGGTGTTGCAACTTTATTGAGCATATTTGAACGTTGAATCACCTCCATGATCCACCCTGCCTGAAGGAAAATAATTTCCTTGTCCATCTGAGGCATGAGAGGCGTCCCAGGCTTTTCTTGGGGGTGATTAGACTGCAGGAGCCCAGAAATTGTGGGGACATCGAGGTGCAAAGCTGCCCAGTTTATGGCAGGTAGCTCTTGGGCAGGGGGGTGCTTGCAGGTACCTCCCACCCCTCAACACTTCACATGAGATGGGTTGACAGAAGTGGGAGACCAGCAGGGAGACCTCATAAACATCCCCGAGGCTACCAGGTGCCCACGTGTGGGTTCACAGCAACAGCCAAACTCTGGGAGAAGAACTGGGGAGATCTTTAGGTCACCTGGAGATCCTCCCAACTCACCTGGACAGCCTGCTCAGAGCAGGGGGAGGACGAGAGGCCTGTGAAGGTGCCTTCCAGCCTAAAACATGGCACATTCCATGAGGCTGGAGAATTGTGGATGAGCCATGGGGAAGGTTCCCCCGGGGCAGCGGGGCTGGGAGGTGCTCAGGGAGTGGGATGGGATTTGGTGGGAATGTCACCTACCAGAGCTGGAATCCAACACCTGAGGGATGAATCCACACCTGCTGGCCACATCTCCCAGGGATGGACATCCTGGCTGGGTTTGAGGAGTGGGAATCTCTGTGGGGGGCCGGAGCACAGGGATTTCACCCAGTCTCTCTTTTTCCTTTCCAGGATGTGATGGGTGTCATAAGCAGGTATGGAATTCTGCTCTCCCTGATGCCTTCAGGCTTCCACTCCTCCCCATCCCTGTCTGGAGGTCAATGTCCACACTCCAGGTGCCAGAGGGAGGCACCGGGAAGGATGGAATTTGCCTCCCACTCTCTGCAAGCCCTGTGTCTCCTCCAGCTTCTTGGAAATCTGTTTTTCATAGTGTCTTTTTCCTCCCAGTGGGCCTCTCCAAGGGTCAAGGGAGACCAGAACCCCCAAATTCCCTTTTTTTGCTCACACACAGTTTGCCCAGCTGAACTGCAGTTCAGGCACCACCACCAAGCTCCAAAAATTACACTGGAGCTGCAGCAGGAGTAGCTGCCAGGAGGGAGGGGTGGTGGGTTTGGGGATTTACCCAAAAAAGTCCCCCCATCACCTCAGAGGAGCCCCAAAATCCACACCCAAATCCTGATTTCCTCACCCCAAGGAGGGTGAAATTTCAGCAAGATCCTCTGGGGAGGATGGGGCAGGAGCATCAGTGGCAAATGGCAATGGAAATGGGGGAATATCAACAATTTCCTCATTGTTTTTCCCTTTCCCTTGGCAGGAGCGACGATGTGAAGTGCCACAAGCCCATCCCCGTCTGCACCGACATGAAGATGCACGTCTGCAACTTCTCTGTCAAAACTGTTGTCCTTGAGAAGGTCTTGAAGAAATTCCGAGGTGGGTGGAAAAGGTTTAAAAATAATCTTTGGCCTTTCCTGCCACTGGCAGGGAGGGGTGGGAGTGCCTGGGGTGCTGCTCGAGGCCTCCCGGGGACCAAAACTGGAGCAGAAATCAGTTGGAAAGGGATTCTGGAGATCCTTGTTCTCATTCTGGAGATGGGCATGAGCAGGAAGAAATTCGTCCTAGATGGGGAAGGAAATGTGGGGTTGTTTTAAAGAGGGGAATATCTGAGGGCGAACATCAGTTTTGGTGCAATAAAAACTTTAATTTCAAGGAGTTTCACGCTGAAATTGCCAAGCCCTGGGTTTGCAGCAAAACAGGAAACCATGAGATGGTGCTGAGAGAGCTGGAAAGGCAAAATGCACCAAAAAGAGCAGCTCTAGAAGAGAAAAAACTGAATAATTGCTAAATGGAAATTACACCCTGGGGCAAGAACTGGCTTCAAGGATGTGCTCAGGGTTTGAAATTCCTGAGGCGGAGATGTGGCAGGGCATGCTAAATGTGGTTTAAATAAATCTTGTGTTTTCTTCATGCCCAGAAGGGGGTTTTTAATGAAAATTAAATATATTTCACAGGGGTTCTCCTCTGTTGTGCTGGTCCATCCTCAGCTTGCTTTGGTGCCACAGTCCCATAAAGGAGACTTGGGGTATCCATTGTCTCTCTGGGTGTCACCATTCATGCCCCTGTCTTTCCTCCTTTTCAGAACATCTGCAGGACGAGCTGGGACGAGGTGAAAAAGGTAAAAAAAGATGATATTTCACACATAGTGCCCAGAGCAAAGACTCAAAATTGTGGTTGTATTTTGCAAAGCCAAAGAGAGTGGGCCAAAAGGGAAGAGGAAAAAAAAAAAAAAAAAAGGAAACCACACTCTAGATTTCTTTTTTTCTTTCTTTTTTTTTTTCCTTAATTTCTTCTCTCTCGATGATTTCCAGATCCAGCCTGCTCAGCTCCAGAGCCCAAAGCCGATTTTTCTAATTGACGCCGGGGATCTGACAGCTCAGCCAGGTCCTCTCTGCCTGTTTGCACTTAACAAACCCATAGAGTTGAGACCAAAAAACCATTCTGAGCCACAACTGGCTCTTAGTCTGCCAAATTTGCTCTGCTGGGCTCCTGTTTCCACCAGGGAATTGGGATGGAGGCTGTGAGCTCCGGCATCTGTTCCAGTGTGAAGTCAGAGGAGTTAAATCCCAGCAGAATTTGGTTAATTCCTTAAGTTATTTAAGAATTTAAATAAAATCCCAGCAGAATTTAACTTGTTTTTGAAGTTAATTAAGAATTTAACTCCTCTTCACAGGAGAGGTCATGAATTTGAGGGGCAAACCCAGCCAAAAACAATTTCCATGCTAGATGAGCCCCTGCGAACGGGCTCTGCAGGAATTTTGGGATCAACCCCATCCCTCTGAGCTCGACCTGAGATTAAAACCTATCCCATCCGCACCCCCTTGGTGTGAAGGTGCCCAGAGCAGAGTTTTCAGAAGAAAAAGCTCATTTTTTGCTTTTAAAGCTGTGGTCTCAAGCACGGCGGTCTCAAAGGAGGACAACCCATGGGTTGTACCTTTTCCAAGGATTCTGCTCACAAACAGCACACCCAGACACCTCTGGAAATGCCAAAAGGTGGCAGAAAGCACAAGGAGAAACCTGGTGACCACCACTGAGAGCCGAAGGCCCCTCGCTGCATGCTGGGGGGGTGGGTGCATGTGCAGAGGTGTCACTCGCTGTGTGTTGTCCCATGACATTGTGGTTAAACCTCAAGCCCAAATCCTGACAATTCCAGGGTCTGGAGATGCCTGAGGAAGGAAAACACCTTGTAAAAAAATTGGCGCTGATGAAATCGGCTCGGTCCAACCAGTTTCCCCACAGTTTTGCTGGTGGGATTTGCAATCTCTGATGCAGGAGATACGGGTTTTTGACCACTCTCACTTTTTGGGGGAACCCGATGCTTAAGTTTTGAAGGAAAAACGATCCCAGCCTTCCCTGTCCTTGTTATGACTTTCCCCACCTTTATGAAGCACCGTGAGGCTTTTGATCACACTGTGCCTCTTTTGGGGGATTTTTGTGTCAATTCCTGACCCAAATCTGTGAATTCTGGAGAGCACAAAGGCCTTTATGGTGAGGCACCTGCCGTGTTTCAGCTCCTGAGGCCCCATTTTAGACTCCCCTCAAAGTGTCTCATGGATTCATGGTGACTTTGCTGACTACAACCACAATTTGAGGTCACTCATTGTTTCCTCTGAGCCTGAGTTTGGAAAGGGGAAGAACAATCTGTTAGGACCAGGCTGCACCCGCATGTTTGGTTTGGGCTACTTCAGGTGGAAAGATGCCCTTAGGTCATGGCTTCCCACAAGGATTTGGATGCCTTTGGGGTGGTTTGGGGATCAAAACTCTGTGATTTGCGATGCCAGGGGAGTGCGGAGCCCACCCGTGGGTGGATGGGCTGGAAACTAAGATAAAAAATCAGTTTATGTGGAAAAAGTGTTCTTGATCTAAGGCCCATCTTTGCCATGGATAACCGCAAATTATCTGCACGTGCTTTTGTGGTGTTCTTTGCTCCTGGTGGCCTCGTGTTGTTGTCACCCCATTTCTCACCAGAAAGCAGCATGAGATCAACCCCTACTTGAGGGATTTGGGGTTTCCATGGGGGTGTCAGTGTGGGCTGGGGTTATTGGGGTTGGGCTGGGGTTATTGAGGTCTGGGCTATTCCAGAAACTGATAACCCCCAGCCTGAGCTGGGCTTTTCAGTGCTCAAACCCTCACTGAGTTGTCACTGCTGTCCCCAACAGAGGACCTGACCCTGGACCCCGACTCAGCCAACCACCTGCTGATCCTCTCCGCTGACCTCAAAAGTGTCCGGATGGGCTGCAGGAAGCAGGAGCTGCCCGACAACCCCAAGCGCTTCGACACCAACTCACGGGTCCTGGCCACCACGGGTTTCAAGTCAGGGCGGCACTACTGGGAGGTGGAGGTGGGGCCGTCGGATGGCTGGGCCTTCGGTGTGGCCAAGGAGTCCATCCGCAGGAAGGGGCTAACGCAGTTCTCCCCCGAGGAGGGGATCTGGGCCATGCAGCAGAACGGGGGCCGCTACTGGGCCGTCACCTCACCCCAGCGCACCCCGCTGTGCCTCAGCCACAAGCTCAGCCGGGTCCGGGTGTACCTGGACTACGAGGGCGAGGAGGTTTCCTTCTATGACGCTGAGAACATGCAGCACATCTTCACCTTCAACGTGGCCTTCCAGGAGAAGATCTTCCCCCTCTTTTCAGTCTGTTCCACTGTCACCTACATCAAACTGTGCCCCTGAGGTGCCTCAGGGAGTGCCAGGGAAGCGCTTTGCCCCTGGATGAGCTCAAAAGACTCAAATCAGCCTGGTTTGGTGGGACGTGGGCTGGGGGATGGGCAACCAGGTGGTCAGGAGAGCATCACAAAGAGGGTCTTCAGGACAGGTGGAAGCAGAGAGATGCCCAGAAATTGTGGCTGCCAGCTTAAAGGAAGGTTGTGGTCACCAGCTTGAAAGCTGTGGTTAGCAACTCAAAGATCATGGCCACCAACTCCAAGGCTGTGGCCACCAACTTAAACCCACCTCTGGAAGGGGTGACAAGCTCAGCCTCAGAGAAGGAACCCTCCAGATGTCATTTGTGGCTCCGGGTCTGACCCCACATGAGAGTTTAAGGGTCTGTGGGAAGCTTTGGAGTGGCCTTTCCACCCCTTTGGATGTGCCAGTGGCTGGGAAATGGAATATTTATAGGGTGAATGACCGTTGGGAAAGGTGGGATTGAGCAGGCATCTTTGGGCATCCATCCAAGGCAAAGCTCCTCTGTTTGTCCACAGAGAAGAAATGCAGTCAGAAATTTCCTTTCTCCAACCTGGGGTAATAATTGTCCCCCAAAAGTTGTTTTTGGAATGTTGTGACAGTTGTCCAAACTGTCTCAGGTGACCACTGTCCACCAGATCTGACCTGTCCAGTGTGGAAGAGTCTGTGGGCTTTTGGCTGCTCTCCCTGTCTGGTTCTCCACCCAGGGCTCCTCTGAAAGACTATGGAAAAGGTTAGAAGGTGCTTCTTTTGGATTTTTTTTAGTGATGTTTGTCCTGCTGGACCTGAGCAAGACCCACATTTGTCCCTCTGGTGCTCCTGTGCTAAGGCCTCTCTGTGGACAAGATGTTCACAAAATATCTCTCATGGTTCTCACACTTTGCTTGGATTTAGGTGCTGAATCTTGTGCTCCCTCAGGTTCCCAGCAAAATCACCCATTTACCCTCATTTTTTGGGTTGCATGATTCTTGGGAGCTTCATCCCCTGCTGAAGCAGCGCTGCTGAAGAAATGACAGAAATAGATGAAAATCCCTGGAATAAGGAAGATATTTACAGGGCCTCAACTTTTCTGATGTCAGAATTGTGTTTGATTTGAAACTGCCCGGGTCATTCTTAGGCCACGTGTGGGAAATAAGAGGTGCTACCTGGGCTCGTCTTCATATATATACATTATATATACACGTATTTAAAATATATTTGTATAAATATATGTCATAATACACATCTATGTATTTATGTGTTGGGGCAAAGGCATACAAAAATTATATAATATAATACAATACAATATAAATAATATAATAGAAAATAATTTTTGTATATAATTGTTTGCGGTTTCATTACACATTTGTTAAGCACAAACCAAATATCTTCAAATCCCCCAAATTAGGTCTCAATGAGGGGAAAAAAAAAGATAAAAACGGGTCACCCTTTGCCTTTGGACATCCTTGGAGGGGACAAACAGGCATCAGCACCCAGGTTATTCCACCAGCAACAAGGAGCTTTCCACTGGCTGGACATCGGCCAAAATCCCTGGAAAAACAGACGAAACTGGAGTTGTCAAGGGCTGGACCCGAATTTTCAAGGGGTTGAGGCCAAATTTTGGGGATTCCGGGGTGGATGATGCCCCACGGCTGGTTCTTTAGTGGCCCGCCCGTTTCTTGCCCTCGTGTCAGGCAGGGGACGGGGCAAATGTTGGGAGGGAAGGGAGAAATTTTGTGGGGAAGGAGAAAATTTTGGGAGTGCCGGAGATTTGGGGGCCATTCCAGCCGTGGTGGCCCCAGCAGAGGGGTCCCTTTCGCACCGGCTCCATAGCTCAGGGGTTAGAGCACTGGTCTTGTAAACCAGGGGTCGCGAGTTCAAATCTCGCTGGGGCCTCTCGTTTTCCTTTTTCCTGGTTTTGGCCTTCTTCCCCCGCCAAAAGCTTCGCTGATTTTGTCTCCGCGCCGGGATCGGGGGCAGGCAGAGCAGAACCAGAAAGAGATTCTAGAAATGACACGACGGGATTCGTTTGAAGCCAGAGGCCAGAGGGAGGAAGCACTTCCCATAGTGGCTCGTTGGTCTAGGGGTATGATTCTCGCTTTGGGTGCGAGAGGTCCCGGGTTCAAATCCCGGACGAGCCCAATTTGTCCCTTTTCTAGCCTATTTCTTTCAGTTTTTTCTTTCTTGCTTTTTTTTTTTGTTTATTTGTTTGTTTTCTCTTTTAATCTCCTTCTCTCTCTGTGTGTGTGTATGTGTGTGTGCATGTTTTTTTGTCTTTGGTTTTGTGCGGGTTTTTCTTCTTTGCTTTTTTTTTCTTGTGTGTGTGGTGTTTAATTTAGGTTGAGTATTTTTGGGTTTTTAAATTATTTTTTGTTGTTGTTGTGGGTTTGATTTTTTTTTTGTGCTTGTGGTCTTTTATTTCGAATTTATTTAAATTGTTTTGGGTGTGTGCGTTTTGCTATTGTTTTGCTATTGGGATTTTTTACTTTGTACGAATTTTGTTGTCGGTTTGAGATTTTTTTGTGCGTGTGGGTTTTTTTGCTTATTTGGAAACTTCTTTTGTTTGGATTTTAGATTCCAGTCTTCCCAGGTGAGGAAAGAAGGAGGAATAAAAATGAGACAAAAAATCAAAAAGTACCTGCTGGCAGCGGTGGGATTCGAACCCACGCCCCCGAAGAGACTGGAGCCTTAATCCAGCGCCTTAGACCGCTCGGCCACGCTACCCGCATGACAGCTGAGTGGGAGCCTTCATCTGCTGGCTGCTTCCTTCCTCATCCTCATCCCTGTCTTCATGCTGTTCCTTTCATTCCATCCTCACTGCTGTCTCCATTCTATCCTCATCCTCATCCCCATCTCTGTTTCACCTCATCCCATTTTATCCCCGACCTCCATTCTCATCCTCATCTCTATCCCATCCTCATTTTCCATCCCTAGTCTTCATCTATAAACTCCATCTCTATCCCACTCCAAATCTCCATCCTCATCCCCACTGCTCTAATTCGGTAAAAACTCATGAAATTTGACTTTTGTCGGATTTTCCCGCATTGTCAGCCGCGCTCCCAGGTCTCTGTGGCGCAATCGGTCAGCGCGTTCGGCTGTTAACCGAAAGGTTGGTGGTTCGAGCCCACCCAGGGACGTGGCTGGGGCTTTTTTTTCCTTTCCCTCCCTGCAGTCATTAGTGAGCTGTTAATGAGCTTCAACGAGCTTCAGTTGTCCTGAGCAGGCCCCTTCCCTTGGCCTGGGGGCTCTGTTTAAGCTCCATCCTGGGAGTTTGGTGCTTCCACCTTGGAGCAGCATTGGGGGGTGCAGCATTGGGGGATTTAATTGATGTAAATGGGGATAAATCTCCCTCACTGGTGCCAGGGGGGGCCTGAGGGGTGTGATGGTCTCCTCATATCTTGTCTCTGCTGCCACCAGTGAGAGCTAGACCTCTGCTTTTGAGCTGGGAATGAACCTGGAGCTGCTCCCCTCCAGCTATGTGGAGTCAGAGGTGGAGGGGCAAGTTGGAATTTTATGGGAGTTGGGATGAATTACAGGCCAAGCAGCTCAGTGACCACAATGAAGGTTGGCGTGGTGCTCTCAGCAACCAGCCTGGCGTTTTCTTTGGACATTTATCATTATCCTGTCAATAATCTTGTCCAAAAAATCCCACCTGCAGCACAGATGGAGTTTCCAAGTCTACAGAATTTAGGACAATTACTAGCAAGAGGAGAAACTCCAGCAAAACCTTGGATTTGCTATGAAGATTCAGAATGATTTATTTGATATACTTGGATCACCTTGGAATCAGCCATGCTTTAGGTAGTAGAGACCTGGATCAGATCCTGACTGGTGCTGTGGGGAATGATTAATTACTTAACAGGAATTAGTATTGATTAATTAAGTAGTTGTGTTGGACCAGTCAAAGGAGAGGATAGTGAGGAAGCACTGGGTTCTCTCTCAAATTCTGGGGTAGGGAAACTGAGACTGATGCTCCCAAAGGGCTGGAGCATGGTGACGCTGTTTATATGTGATGACACTGCCCTCAGACAAGGAAACCAGAATTTCCCACCTTTATTTCACCTTAGTCATTCCATGAAGTGCCTTGAGTGCAAATAAACTGGGAATGGCAGTGGACAAGGGAAACAGGAGAGTCCCAGAGCCCACTGCCTGGTTTTAGTGCTCCCTCCTACCCCCATGAAGTGTTTATAATTCTGATTACTATTACTATTTCAACATTCCCTCTTCTCCCCATGACATGTTTAACCACTTTGGTCCTGCTTCAAGACATGCAATTCTTTGACACCTTCACTGCCAATGAATTCTGCTAATTTCTCTTGGAAAGAACCAGATTCACACCACCAAAAGTTGGCTGAGGGCATGCTCAGAGCTCTTCCCTGTGCGCAAGTCTCCCAAACGACTCCCTGTCTGTGGCCAGGGCTTCATTACTGTCATGGTGGATGTTGCTGCTGGCCCTGATGGCCGATTTCATGGCAGTGTCAATCCAGGCGTGGGGCTGGGCTGCGTGTTCCCCGGCAAAGTGGACCCGGCCCTCGTGAGCGAACAGGGCCTGCGAGTAATCCACAAACTGGTACGGGGTGAAGGCAGCAAAAGCCCCCAGGGAGTGTTGGTCCAGCTGCCACTTCTGGATCACATGCTGGTCACAGGTGTATTGCAGGTACTCCTTGCTCACCTGGTGGATGTCTGCCAGGTCTTGGAGCACCACATCCAGGCACTTCTCTTCTGTGAGGGGCAGGAAGAACTCGGCATCATTGTTCCAGGTGTAGGAAGCCAGGATGATGCCCACCCCACTGGAGAAGTTGTGGCTGGGGTAGTAGATGAAGCGGGAGGGGCGGTCGGTGATGGAGTACCCTCCGTGGATCCCGTCCTTCTCCCAGAACTTCTCGGAGCATGCCAGGATAATTTTGGAGGAACTTGCATAGTTGATGGAGCGCAGGGCATGGGCCTTGGCAGGGGACAGTGGTGGCAGGAACTGGATGTGCCTGGTAGCTTTGGCACTGGAGGTGACAAGGACATAATCTGCAGTGATGATGGTCGGGGCCAGCGTGTCCGGAGCACGGTAGAACACTCGGACTTTGTTGCCCTTTGTCATGATCTTCTCCACAGTGCAGTTGAACTGGATGACGTTGGGCAGCGCCTTGTGGAAGGCTCTGGGCAGTTGGTCAAACCCTCCAGTGATTTCATCAAAACTGGAAGAGAGGGGAAACGGGAGGTGTGGGAAGGACGCTGGGGTTTAGGGGGCATAAAAACCAGAGCTCTTCTGGAGCCCCCAGCGGAGCTTGGAGGCCCCATTGAGCCTCAAGTGGTTCCTGTTTGGAATCACTCTGACATTTCCTGTTATGGGAACAGGGTTGGGCTGGAGGGACAGCACTCACCTCTCTTCAGAGAAGATGCTGAAGTCCCACAGTGAGGCGAGGAAGGACAGGTAAAACCCTGAGTCCTCATTCAGCAAGTCACCGATCATCTCAACAGCTCCTCGGCTCAGCCCCCCCACCTTAATCAAATATTCCTGGAGATCCCAGGAGAAGAGACACAGCCAGAGGTTGCTACCTCAGTTAGGGTTCTTCTGGAGCTGTGCTGGCCCCTTTCTCAGCATTTTGTAAGTAGAAGGGGTCATTTATTAGGGAAAAGCATCCAAAAGGTGACAGGATGGGGTTAGAGTGACACAGACAGGCCTTTCTCAAAGCAGGGAGAGGAGGTTAATTATCAAGAGCTGGGATTAAATTTGCCCTCGAGTCCAAGCCCATTACCTTGGTGGAGAAGGAGTCGTGTTGAGCCAGATACTTCCTGCAATCAGTGGTCTGGAACTTCTTTAAAGCCTGGAGAAGAAACACTGATATTTTCATGGGAAAAAAGATCCATTTCCCAAAGTGCTGCCCAAAATTCTCTCGGGATTTTAGGGTTTGGTAACCCCTAGAGCTTCTGGACATCGAGTTTTGAGCAGCTGTGCCTTGGTATGGCATTTTCTGCTCATCCAAATCCTGGTGGACTCCTTCCAAAGGATGTCTTGTGGACAAAGAGGGGTTTTGCAACCATCTGTCCTTGTTTCTCAACAAGCCTCTTTGATTTTCACTCCAAAAAGACCCTGTTCTGCCCCAACTGAGGGCTGAGTCTTCCCCAGTTCATGGCCAAGTCTTCTCCAACTCCTGGCCCAGTTTTCCCCAACTCATCCTTCAGGTGAGGGAACACCACGAGAAAATCTTGTACCTTGTTCAGTACCTCCCGGTACAGTTGGACGGCACTCTTGCCCCTCTCTGATGGCTTCACTGTGTAATTCAGGATGTCAGGGTTCCTGTTTAC